CTTGCAAAAATCAATAAAAATTATCTATAAAAAAAAAAATAACGGATGAGTCAATTCGGGTAAAGGGGGATCATATAGGAGTCATTTCTTGCTGTACACCCAGCTTGATGAATTCTTTTTTCACATGTCCTAAAAGCTTTTCCCTTCAGCCCAACATTCACTATACCTTATATTTCCACTTTGCTTCTGTTTTGATTTTATTCTGTTCCCGCATTTCAAATTTTTCCACATCATTGTTCTGCTTAGCCGTCTCCTCCTTGTTAGGGGTATTTATCTCCTCCTTGGGGGCCTGGAGAAAAATACATGAACAGAAGTGTTGGCTTTGTTTCTGCAATATATACTTAATACTAAAAAATAAAAAATGTCATGACATAAAAGCATATAGTCTCAGCATGTTAATGTCACTCCAAAAGTTGTTTCAATCTTTCCAAAACTGCAGCTTTCATTAAAATAATAGAAAGGGATCTTGCTATGAAGGTCCTTGTTCAGGCACTTCCTGTTGTGCTCCTCCATTGTCACATGGGGACTACAAGTGGCTGTGCCGACGCTTATAGCACAGACACGTTCCCCCATTGTAGCTATCATAAAGCCAATCCAGAACAATGATGTGCAGTTAATCCTGGATTGCAGGTAGACAGAAAGTGACTGAAAACAACTGGATGAGATCAGCAGCACTGAGGTGCAAAAAAGGATGAAAAGGGTGAATATAGTAAATTATGAAAAATTGGCAGGGCTTGAAAAATTTGGCGGTGTCTCACCAGTCAGTAAGCCAATCCAGAACAATGATGTGCAGTTAATCCTGGATTGCAGGTAGACAGAAAGTGACTGAAAACAACTGGATGAGATCAGCAGCACTGAGGTGCAAAAAAGGATGAAAAGGGTGAATATAGTAAATTATGAAAAATTGGCAGGGCTTGAAAAATTTGGCGGTGTCTCACCAGTCAGTCAAAAATGTCACCAGTCAGCATGACCTGACTATAGCCTTGCAATATATGTTAAAAAATTTTGGGGACAGATAGAGGTTTCTTTTGTGACCCCACGGGGGGGTTATTTTTTTTTACTATATAATGAAAAAAGTACCATAAATATATAAAAAAAAAGTTTCCCTATGTTATAAAACATTTATTGTTACCCATATTTTTAGTACAACATAAAAGTCGGGGTCACGTCGGGTAAATAGACACCAAACATGTCAAGCCTTAAAACTGCGTGCGCAAAAAACGCCCATACGCGACGATTAAAATGCTTTTACTGCTCATCACTTTAGTGTTATCAGTGATTAATGGCTCTAGAATTATTGCTCTCATTGCGACATTTGCAGCGATATGTAACATG